AGTTCTTTATACATGAGTTTCTATTAAGTTTATAGTACACTCTACAGTTACACTTAATACACCGTACATGAGTTCAAAGTGAATTACTTTGACATGAGTTACACAACGGTTACCATTTACTTTCTGAATTTTTTAATTTCAAAACAAAGTTTCAAAGGATTTGAGTCTTTGCCACAAATTCAGATTTCTAATCCCTATATCTTTGCACCCATGCTGCCATAGACCTTAGATATTTCAAACTATGAATTCTGTTAGATCAAATTATCTAAGTTTGAAATATCAAAGGTTTGCACCATCAAGTTGTTAAGATAGAGGGAATAGAAAATTTGAGTTTGAGACAAAGACTCAATTCCTTTCACTCTGAATTGTTATCTTTCTTTATTTAAATGTTTATTAATTCTAACTCCCACAAGCAGATTTATCAATATCGTAAATATACAGAGTAACCCACAAAGGATAAGACTTCAGAGTACGACTTACGGAATTTATACTTTCTGTTTCCTTATATTCATATATAACTATAACTACAATCTTCTTTCTTTCTTTGTCAAAACGTTAAATAATTGACATTATAAGACCACATCAAGACAGAAGACATAATTTTTCCCTGGGAGTGTCATATTTTAAGATTTACATGTCGTCTTTACAGTCTCATCTTTTGTGGCTAACCCTGTATATAGGAAAGAAAAAAACGTCCAGACTATTAAAAAAACCAGGATAAAACTTTTAACATTGATTGTCACCTTTCTTTCCAATTATTTTATTTTTGGAATAAGTGAATCATAAAAGAACGTAATTGATTTGTTCTTCTATTTGTAAAAAATAATAATTTTATCCCTGCACTACCATGCTCCAAAATAGAAATTATGCGGCATTACTGGTGTGACTTTGGGACCTCGAAGCTCCTGTAGTTTTATTTTTAGGTGACTTTTTTATCCGGTTAAATTGTAGAAATTCAAAACATTTTTGCTCCTCTCCATTGCTCTTCAACAACACGATCGTTATGATTGAAAAAACCCTTTTTATTTTACATTAGTTTAACGTGGGTCCTGCACCGTGGTCAATTAAAATTTTCCACTTATCCCTTTAACTGTAAATTCTGACGTTTCCCTTTAAGTTTTCACTTAATCCAGTAAATTATTGAAATATTTGATCTAAAGTTTGCAAAATGATGACGATACAATTCTTTATCTGGGAGAATTTTAGAGAGAATTTCACTAATGAGGTTTGAAATGATTTTTAACGTGATTATTGAAATCTACTCTGGATCAAACAATTTTTGAAACCCTGAACACTTTTATTTATATAAGATGTGCTAACAGTTTCTGCGCCTGGAAAACAAAAAAATCAGATTATATATAAATATTAATAAACATGGAAATTGTAATTTTCTAAATTTTTTTAATTTCTCCGTTTTAGCTGTTTTATTAATACATACTTATATACTTATACTTATACTTATACTTAATACTTATATTATAGAGTAAGTCTAAGGAAATGAGTTTGTGTTAAAAACTCAGTTCCTTTATGTCAAAATTTTGTTTGAAATAGCTTTTAAGAAAAAGGTATTTTTGTAAAATTATTCTTGGAAGAAACTCTATATTGTGAATGTACATATACAATTTACAAATCACAATTGTGATGTATAAAAAACTTTTAGAAATAATAAGAAATTAAGATTTAAGTTGTGTTATGAACTTTTTTCTTAAAAATACCAAAAAAAATGAAATGTTTTTTTAAGATTACTGTGCACATGTAAGAGTTATAAGGAAACCAATTCCATCCCATTTAGTTTTATGAATTGTTCCAGGGGGGTTCGGGAAGACCTGCCCCACATTTAGATGCAAATTATTATGCATAAATTGCTTTAAGAGAAAGTAGGGAGCTGGGGTGACAAAGAAAGATTAAGAATAAAACAAATGCAGTGAAACGTCAAGAAAAATTATAACTTTTAGGGTGAAAATATCCTTTTCAGATGTGGGGATTCATGCAATCTTATTTTTTACATATCCTCCTATACTTTTGCACCCCGGAGTTAATACGACGCAAAAATTTAAAACTTTATGATGTAGACTTGTAGGACTTAAGTATAGAGAGTGAAGAGACTGTAGAGATGTTCCCAAAGTCCCGAAAGCGACCAAAGCGCAAAAGGTAAATTTTAAAACAAATTTTTAATACCCGCTGCAATAAATAATTGCTTTTATCCCCCCCCCCTCTACGAAAACGGAATCTTTAAAAACAAACAATTAAAAACAATTAAGATTAGTAATATAAAATTAACACAAATTTGTTTAGATTAAATTCGAAATATTTCAAAGACGACATTTATACTTAGGTCAATGAACAGTAGAAAGGCTAATGCACGCGATAGTCATGAGAGCGGACTCTGGTGGCCAATTCTAGAACTATTATTCTGCCTAAATACCACCTAGCTATTTCTACTGCGCATGTCTGCTTCACTAAATATTGGGTTCTGCGCATGCGGCTCTAGTCACGTGACCAGATGCTTTGTGAGCGCAATTTCCAGGTATACATTACTCATAAGAAATTTGAGTATTTATGCGATAACAGGGCAGAATTCTCTTGTGATTCCAATAATTATCAAGTGCAAATAAGTTCTCGTCGGTTTTATCTTTAATTTAGCCGCCTTGAAGGCGTTTTTATTCGTTAAATCCCTAGTTTTGCAAAGCCGGTCTCCCTCTGCGCAATTGCAAGATGGCGTCACTCCTCCGAAACATGAATATAAAAACCCTCCCGTCATGAATATTTCGTTTTTTTACAATTGCATAAGCAATATACATACTGGATTCCTATTCTGCAACTGATAAGGGAATTTATTCATGATTAATTTAATGATTTATGTGTTTTTAATCATCAAACTGACTGCTGTTCCTGCGCAATACGCGTTTCAGTTTTTGTTCATTTTCTCCGTCTTTGTCAAACTTAACCTAAATATATGGCAAGTAGTGATATATTATATGTTATCTATTTTTGTATTGAAGCGGCGGAACCAGTTATTGTTTTTGAACTGTGTAAGCTCCCAACTGCAACGATAAATTATATTTCATATGACGAAAGGAGCTGTTTAAAGCAGTTCTCTTTAAAATATCACACAGTTAAGAAGTATACACCCTCTCTTCATGTTATATCGATTTTTAATTCAATTCTTTTAAGCGGATGTAGGTATATTCCTAGTATACGATTTTTGGAACAATCAATCTACAAGTGAAGACCATATTATCGTTTACAGGCCCTTGTACATACTGTATAAAGAGTTCTAAAGATGGCTAGAGGAGGGGGGACCGGGTCCCGCACCAAACAAAAAAAGAAGTCTGAAACCCCACAGAACGGAACCGTTAACGGGCAAACAGAATCTGAACAGAAACAAATGAACAAACTTTCCAAACACAGAAAACAGAAGGTAAAATATTTTTGTATTTATTTGTTTCTTCTAAACTGCGTATCAGAAGTAAATTCTGTTATGGTAGTAAAAACCACGGCCCGCTTATAGATGTGATTCTATCTATCGATCTTTACTATTCTGGGCTAGCGTATATGCAATTTACTGGGGATTTTTTTGAATCTCTGCATGGTGTATCTAAGGTTTCAATCTAAATTTTTTTTTATTCTGGCCAACTTCAATTCTATATAAATTATTTGTACTTTTAAAAAATTAGAAGTGAAGTTCAGGGTTCAAATTAGAAAACGTTGATAGATCTTGGGCCTTGGAGTAAGCAGAAATGAGATACTGAAGCTAAAATGAGCGTGTGAACATAACTTTGCCCCCGAAGAGTTGGGTAGCATCAAATGAACTTTTTTATGAGATTTCCAAAATGTGGTCTGTTGTTTATGTACCTAAGAATTGAATGAGATATTGAGCAATTTGTCTTAAATTTAAAGTCTTAAAAGTATAATATATTAATAAGGTTGTTCAATTCGAAGTATCAACGACAATTTCTTAGATACAAAGAAAGAGGATAAATTGTACAAAGTTTCAGAGACTAACAATGTCTACTTTACTCCTTTGACAACTATTAACTTTACTAAAACCAGAGACAAATTGTAATCCCTGAGTCCAATTTCTAACGTACTGCATGAAACCCCAGCCATAAAATTATATCCATACGATTATATACTTACAAAGTTTTAGAGATTAACAATGTTTACTTTACTCCTATGACAACTATTAACTTTACTAAAACCAGAGACAAATTGTAATCCCTGGGTCCAATTTCTAACGTACTGCATGAAACCCCAGCCATAAAATTATATCCATACGATTATATATCTATGGTAGTAACTTTCATATTTCATTAATTTGATATTTTAAGAGTTTTGGACAACATTTCCCCAGAACTAAGATTAAAAAGAATTTGTAGATTTCTCATTTTTAAATATTACATAATCCATAAGGTTGAAAGAACACTATCTTTAAAGGCATTCTTTAATTTGAGATGTAGATTAAGAATGTAACCAAATTCATCTTGAAATTTATCTTGAAATTCATCTATATTTAACTTGAAACAGTAATACAGTTTTGTGTTAACTAGTTGCAAATTATATGACCCCCCCCCCCCCATCTATTTTCCTGTAGATGTTGGGAATTTTTGCGCGTAATAGATATTTATTAAAAAGATTTTATTTTCTAAATTAGAGAAGATAAACAGATTTTTGGAGACAAATTAATTTAAGTAAAACGTGATTTTTGATGTACAATCTTAAGCTTTTTTCCCCTCCGAGCTTCAACAATTATTCCCGGGGGGGGGGGGGATTTTCAAAATGTATACCCCTTAGATGTAGATCCTTAATGATTTGTTTTAATTACATAGTCAATCCCAATTACTATTTAAATCACTGTAAAAACTGTTCACATGACGTGCAGAATCCCGAGCTAAATATTTGATTTATTTCGTCACACCCCCCGCCCTTTAATAATGGTTAAATAATGGCTCAAACCACGTGCACTGCACATTCAGGTTAAATAATGGCTCAAACCACATGCACATTCCTTTAATATTTATTTAAATTACGTGCACAGTCCCTTCAACATTTGTTTAAATTACGTGCACAGTCCCTTTAACATTTGTTTAAATTACGTGCACAGTCCCTTTAACATTTGTTTAAATTACGTGCACAGTCCCTTTAACATTTGTTTCAATTACGTGCACAGTCCCTTTAACATTTGTTTGTTTAGGAGGAAGCTCCTGCTGCTCCACATATAGAAGATGAACCTGTCAAGGAGGAGAAGGTTTCAGTTAAACTTCAACCAACCAGTGATCAGCTTAGGCTGGCTCATCTCACACAAGGAATATTTCACGTCGATAACTCTTCACTTTAATTCTAGTCGTTTTACGCTATTCGTAAATAATTCCCCCCCCCCCTCAAAATAATGACCTCCCTCTCTCAAAATGGTAGGAAGTTATAAGTTTTTTGTTTTTCGGTGTGGATTTCTGGAAAATTTAAATTTTATCAAATTATTTGTAAATAGATTCCAATTAATTAGGAGAAACAAAAATACATGATTACCCAGAGACTTAAATTTTCTTGAAAAATCTTCCCCCACCCCCACTATGTTGGGAAGATTTTTGTGGAGCGTCTACTTTCTTTTTAGGATTTTATCCCCATTTGGGGGAATTCAATAATTTTACAAGTGTATCAAGTTAATTTTTCTCTTACTGAAACTAAGTATCTAACGTGACAATATTAGACTCAACTCTGGATCCTCAACAGAAGGGAAAGATCAGTCAAGTGATGGACTTCACGGGAAAATCAGGAAAGACGAGATTAAAACACTAATATAAAGAAATTATATCTTCATTCTCCCCACATCTAAAGTCAATCGTGAAGGTTTTCACTGTCAGTGCTATCGTTTTCATGATGGTAATACGACTTTTTTACCCTAAATCAACGTCTCTTTTTAATAAATTATTGTATTTTTTATTTACACTTGAAACTTTTTTAAAATTATTTTTGACTGGATTTCTCGCCCCTCTTTGGCATCCCGCATTCGACTTTAAGTTTTGCTTGAACCCTATTAATTGTCGAAACTCTTAAAATCTCTCGATAAAAAATGACTTGGCTTAAGTTAACTTTTAGTAATAAGTTTAACTCGTTGTATTCAGAGGATGAAGTTGCTACAGCACTGTACGACTGCAGTTGGGACGCACAGAGAGCTATAGAGATGCTGCTGGAGGAAGGTGGAGATCTTGGGAGTTGGGAGGAAACGGGTAAGAAGAAGAAAAAGAAAGCAGACAAGGATGAGAAGGACACTAAAGAGAACGAGGACTGGGACAATGACAATTTTGAGCCTAGCTTGCGGCAGGACGGAGATAACAGAGCAGTAAGAGGACGTGGTCCTCCTCGGTTTAAACGAGGCGGAGGTTTAGCTCCCGGAGGGAGTAGACAGGACGCGGATCAATGGAAGAACAAAGAGTTTGCCGAGAACGAACGAAATTTTGAAAGTGGGCGGGGTCGAGGGGGTGGTAGAGGTTTAGGCCCACGGACCAGAGGAGGAATGCCACCAAGAACGCGGGGTAGAGGAGGTGGACCACGACAGTTTGGTGGACCAGGAGGACCTGGACCTTCAGTGGGAGGAGTCACACCACCTGATTCAGGACCTTTCGGACAAATAGATACTTGGGCACCAGTTGGGGAAGAGAACTCAAGGCGGGGGAAAATGTCAAACAGAGATGCCTTTGATAATGCTGGTAAATATTTGATTTTTATTTATTTAACCTTGTAAGGGAGTGTTCGTGAAATTTTATGTTGCTCGTAAAGAATACTTAAATAACCTATCTGCAACTAGTCCAATATTATTTAGACACCTTTTTTCTTTAAAAAGCTTAAGTTATAAATCCTGTTCCTTGCACACTAAGTCGTGATGACAAATCTATATATAAATTTGGCTTGTCTGTTTGTCTGTTTGTCTGTTTGTTTGTTTGTATCCAATAAACGTCAAAACGGCTGAACCGATCGGGCCCAAATGATCTATTGAATCTAGATTTCTAGATTGTTGTAATAAGAGATCTGCACTCAATTCTTACGAATGTATGATGTCTTATATCTGTAACGCTTGTTAAATTGTTATATGATATTTTGCACTTTGCAAAAAGTTTAATCTTTTATATGTGTCTCAAAAGTTAGCAGGAAGGGACTTAATCTTAGTTTTCTAATTATGTTTTCGAAGTCTGAATTAATTGGTTTTCGTTTGTTACTTGATTTATCGATTGAATAAAAAATAATGCAATCTATCTTGATTCTAGGCAACTGGGGCGACGATTTTCCTGCTGCTGAAGATTGGGACAATGATGAATATACTGGGTCTTTATCAGACAGCAAGGTTGGTTTAGTTCATTCTCAGGTACAAAGACGTGTACATAACATAACATACTGGTTTGTGTAGTTCATTCTCATGTACATAAATTCTTACATTACTTTTGTTTCATATCCTGTACATATGAGTTGAAACATTTGAGATAGAGCTTAAGCTATGAATAACCTGGTTTAAATTCTGATTAGTGAAAACAAGATGTGGTTTCAGCAAATGAGTGAACGTGTTGTTGTATATTGTACTACGGTTACGAAGTTTCCACCTAATTCATCTGACGAGGACTCTTTAAATTAAGAATGGTATCCCCGATATCTATTAGTAATCTTCAAAACTAAGTCTTGTAAACAATAACATTTTTAGAAGTTTTACGTTCTGGAATAACAGTTTTAATAAGTTTCTTGCACTTTTGGGTCTGCATCCGAAGATTTTGGCTCTACAACCGAAAAGATAGCTCAATAATCAGATTACGATTTTAAATGGCACCATCGCCAATATTAGGTTGACAAATAATCCATTTTATTTTGAAATAATAGTTTAAACTTTGTTTGAATTTATTTAAGTTTTTATTTCCCTTCTAGGTATTTACTCCGAGTGGGTCTACTGGTAAAAGTGCAGTTGGTGAACCCGTTGTTCCAGCTCCAGTGGGTACAAGTGCAAACAACAGTCTCAGCGGTGCTGCTTACGGTGCGTCTATCGACCTAACATCGTTGTTACAGAAACCAGTGACACCAGGTGGTTCCAGTGCGGCCCCTGGGGGCCCTACAGGCCCCCTTGGCACTTCTCTTAGTCAGTTCAACAAGGTGGCAACACAAGATCTCAAGACTGCTATAGGTATAGGCGGACCATCCGGTTCTAAAGTTGAAGGTTTAGCTCCGGGATACGGTAGCTCAGCCCTTAGTTACTCCTCAGGAGGTTCCAGTCAGTTCTCAGCCGCTAACTCCGGTAGCAACACTTTCGGTAGCTCTGCTCCAGGTTCTGCATTTAGTCCCATCAAACCTGCGGCGGTTACAAACGGAACCACGGGATCCAAAGCCTTACCGAGGGCAAGGTTGCCACCGCCGAGCAAAATTCCATCTTCTGCGGTAGAGATGCCCGGAGACTCTTTATCCAACCTGGATGTTCAGTTTGGAGGGATTGATCTGCAATTTGGAGCTAACAGTGAATCTTCGTCGACAGTTGGCTCAGGGTTCGATTTCTCCGGTGGAAGCGGACTCAGTTCTAGCACTAAAGATTTGGAAGCCAAGTACAGTATTCCGGTTTCAAGCACTGATAAATCTCTTGATTTCAAGCCTGGCTCTTCTGCTGTCAAGGATGTAAACCAAAGTCTGAGCAGTGCACTGTCTGCTGCTGGAATTAAACCCAGTGGTAGCACTGATTCTGTAGGGTATCCCAGTAACCCTAGGGCTGAAAACAAATCAAACTTTGCACCCCAAAGATCCCCCGGACCCCAAGTAGAGAGGTCCAAACCCCCGGCTGTGACGGATTCCTTGGGTGGATACAACAATTCTGGATATCCTTATCAATCCTCAAGTCAGTCCAAATCTAACAATCAATATGGACATCAGAACAACCCATACCAGAGTAACAGCAACTACGAGAGACAGAATAGCTCCGGATACTCAAGTACAAACGGTCTCAGCTCTAGCTCCTATAGCGGAAGTGTGGGTGGGTCCGGATACAACAGTTCCAGCGCTACTCCCAACAGCAACAACTACTCCTCGTCAACGACTAACAACGGTAGTTTGTCCAACAGCAATTACAACAATTACAATGTTCCCGTGACGTCATACTCTTCCTACAACAGCGGAAACAATTCCTACAGTTCTAAACAATCTTCTAATAATTACAACAACACGACTTCTCATTCCCAGTTCCCAGTCTCAGAGTCTACTACTACCCCTTCATCCTCAGCTGCAGCAGGTATACCTTTAAGCCATCCTTTCTTGATATTTGAAAAATTGATGAAGGGTTCTTATTTTACTTTAAATTCCCCCTCGTGTTTCCGAGGAATTGATTGTTCTTTTTTTGTTCTCCTAATAAATCATCAAGTATCCTGAGATGGAATTTAAAGAATTTGAGCCGCGGTTTAAATCTGCCAAAACCCGGGTTAAATTAAGCGCCGGCTTAAAAACTTGAAACATTTGATACCATTTTGAGTGGAACCAACCATATTTAAGCCGCGGCTTAAATTTAATCCGCCGCTCAAATCTTTAAATTCGGCCACTGAATTCATAAGATTTAATCAAATTTATTCCAGGGGAAAGAAGGGAAATGATTTTTAAATAATTTTTTTTCTTTTAATTTCTGAAGTATTAAAAGAGTTGAAAATAATTCAACAGTTCTCTTCAATTTCTATTTAAGTTTCTCGGATGATTTTTTCTTGGAGACTTTTTCTTTATCCCGGTTGAGTTTTCTTTCTTTAAAGATCTTAATTAAAATCTGAACTTATTTTTTTAATTTATCCTGGTTGTGTTTTCAGTCTTATATTGAAGGAGTAAACCAATCTTTTTCAATTGAACACTTTCATGGTAGTCAAATTACGAGTTTAAAACGTTTAAAAGATTTTATTGGTGTGAAGATCAAGACGTAATCAACGTCTTGTTTTTTTAGCCAAGTTTGACACGAATGTGACAGGAAGCGGATACCCAACCAACAATTTCGGTTTGGCCTCCAGTGTATCCTCTAAGATGAGCGTGAACTCCAGTGGGAGCAGCAAGATGCTGCCTAATCTCCCTCCTGGAGTAGCTAATCTTATCCCGCAGTACATGATTAATGCAGGAGCCGGTGGAGGTTAGTTTAAACCTTACTCTAACACAGGGGTTTCCACTTTCCTCATTCAACTATTGTTATTTAAAGGGGGGGGGGGGGGTACAAGTTCACATTTAGCTGGAAAGCATTCCCCCATTGTTGATACTTCTGAACTAATATTAAAATAAAAACGGCAATCTTTTTAATTCTAAAAAATATATTATTATCATATTTATTCATTGTTACACCTACGCAAGTTGTTTTTATAGAAAAACTTTCTACGTCACTTTTCCTCGAGTTTTCAGTGCTCATGAAGGGGCTTTAGCTGTATTATAATTAAATTTTAATTCGATGATACTTAAGAGCGTTGAAGAATTACATGCTCGATCAGAAATCTGGATGGTAAACTCGTACTTAAGATGATTTGTCCATGTCTTAAAATTTCACGAATTTTCCCTTGAAATAATTTTCCCTCTAGGATTTCCTGCCTACCTGACAGGTCTTCAGCAGCCTATGTACGGGTATGGAGGTGTAGGGGCGGGACCCCAGTTAGGAGGTGTGTCCGGTCAACAGCTTGAAGATTTAGCAGCGCTGCAGCGCAGCACCCTGGCTAACCTACCCCAGTTGGTAGGTAGCGGGGCTCAGGGAACCAACAGCAAGGGGGTGAGATAAGGATACTTCTAGGCATGCCATACACAAATATTACGATGCATATCGTTTATTATTGTAAAGCAGCATGTCCGATGTAATTAAACTTCTGCATGCCTTATGGCTTATACAGATATTGGGGATGGTAAATGATATGTATGTAGGAAATACATGTTGCACGATGAGAAAGAATGTTTTTGTTTTGATCGATGCGCGATATTTTTTCCCGTTTTACCTAGGAGGATCTTTTTTAAAGTTTTTTTATTTAAAAATACGTCGAATTAAGTAACTTTGTTGTTAAATTGTTTTAATTTTTTTCCTTCAAATTATGACAGGGTTTTTTTTTCACATAGTCTCTGAAAGGTTCATTGTTTTCATTTTATCCACGAAATATAGTGTTTTAATTCGAGATAAATCAAGAAATATGTTTTGTTTGTGTCAGGAGATTAAACACAGATGTTTTTTTAAATGCTGTGTTCTAAATACAATACATTAGCTATTATTCCAAACTTCATGTTTTCTCTGTTAAAATGCGTTCATAGTGGATTATATAATTCACGGAGAATTGATAAGCAGTACAATCATTCTGATTCTCTATATTGCATCATGTAATATTTCTATTAAGAGTAAACAAACCTTTTATGATATTGGATTCGGATTTAGTTTGCCTTCAATAGTTTTTTGAAAGGTTGGGAGGATGTGATACTGGAACCGTGGGGNGATGGTGCCCCTGAAAAAATTCTCAGATGTTCGATACATTTTTTAGGAAGCATTTCTCTCACATCTGGGAATTTTTTTCAGGGCCATCCTAGGGGGGGGGTAATTTTATGATAAGGGGAAATCAATATATACCACCTAAAACTGATTGCATGCTCTAGATGTTTTTTATCTCAATATTTCTTCTTTCTCTTTCTTTAATTACAGTATTGTACTGTTACTAGATAACTGTACTAGTCCAGTATTGTAATAATTAAATTTGTGCATTAGTCTTACGATGGTAGTATTTTACTTCTATATACTGGAACTGATCCAGTGTACTTTATTACTTGAGGAACCTTTAAAGCAGTGTTAATATTAAGTATAAAACAACAAAAAAATGTTTTTTGAGTTCCTATTTTACCATTTATTCAGTATTATTAAAACTAACTTATTTTTATTCTTGGTTTTTTCCTTTTAAATAAGTTCGGGTTTTATCTTTCTTACTTTTACTGTACCGTATTAATTAAATCTGGAAACCCAGGCGCATGATTTCTATATATATAGTTTCCAAATACTTTTCGACGATATTTAAAAAAAGTCGAATCGGAAATTTTTCTTGGTGTATCTTTTTTCTCTTAAACATTATTTGAGCTTATAATAAAACTATATTTGGCTTAAATGTTTGACTTAAGCGCAAACTTAGAATTAAGCCAAGTTGTGTTTAAAAAGATATTTTTGCATGCACGTTACGGAGACAATTTGTTACATTTATTGTAACTCTTGTAATTTTCAGCGACCTTACATTTATCGAGTGTCTGACTCACAATATCTATATTGTTATTCTAGCTTTAAGTGTTCAATTCTGAGATTTTCCTCGACTGTTTCTCTAGCAGAAATCCATGCCGAGGTTATAATGCAAGGAAAGTTGATTGCAGTTGCGTATACTCTGCGTACATATTGAAACCAGTTCTCTCTGGGCGGAATTTCTAAGCAAGAATAGATGCATCAGTGTTCGCTTAGTATCCGTATCCGAGGAGGATAAAAGCATTAAATTTTGATAATTCACATAATATGACCTGAATATTTCATTGATTTTGTATGTGAAAGATGGATCTCATGTCAGGCTTCCACATCCGTCTTGTGTTTACATTACAGCCCAGAGACGGTACATTGCAGTACAAAAGATGCGCACACCTCTGAATAACTTTCCTTGCATTATAACCTTGCCCCTGCACAAGTCACTTTCAAAGAGAAACTACAATTAAAATCAGTGCCGTAAGATATCTCATAAATTCTTGGACCATACAAAGGTCGTGAATAGAACATGCCACTCAATAAATGAATTGCATTAAAATTATGTTTACATTTCCTTTAATGCACTTAACTGAAACTGCGAAATTTTATTTATCTGAAATCAAAATTGTTTTCAAAATTACATCAATTCAAAGAAAAAGTCAAAAACAGATATTTAAGATCTGAAAATAAGATGAGAGGTTTCTTAATCCTACTCATGCATCCCTAGAACCTTGACGTTTCAAATAAGAACTAATTTTAATTTCAAATTCTTTTTTTCAGCCTTCCAATCCCGGATACTACGATCCCAGCTCAGCATTTGGAACCGGATCCAGTCTTGCAAATAGTAGGGGAGACGCAAACTCATTCAGCGAGTCTAATAAGTTCGGCCAGACGGCCGGCTCAGCTACAGACAGTACTTCGTCACCTGTGCCAAGCACAGTAGCCGCCGGTCAGCCTACTGCATTCAACGCTCTAGGTAAATATGTTTAAAACGTCGATAAAGTTTTTCATTTAGTTCCGCCGCGCAGATGTAAAGTGAACAAAACATGGATTTATGTCTTAAAGTTGTAACTTCTGATCTTAGTATATAGGAATAGTTGTATATCAGGTCAAATTTCTGTGTTTACAATGTCTTAAAGTATTCAACAAAAGTCCGCATTTAATGAATTTAAGCCGCGTCTTAAATCCGCATGAAAACCGGTTTCAATTGAGCGGCGGCTTAAATCTTGAAACATTGATAACAGTTGTAAGTAGAACCAACCATATTTAAGCCGCGTCTCAAATAGACAATTAAGTAAAATTGGTAACAATGAAGATACGGATACAGTCAGTATAGTTGTTTTTACGTCACTGCACTGCTCTGGTGAAATTTCCATTTTTAGTGACAGACTTAATATTCGATAATAAAGACAATTCAGATTAAAGTTTCGAGTTTGAAATTAGTGTAGTATAATGGTTTTTTAAAATAACTTGTTATTTCATGTTCTTCACACTATAAAATGGGATTGGAATTGGGTTACATTTAATATAAAAAACTTCATTTCATGCAGTTTTCAAAATCCTATTGCCACCTATTGATCTTGATAATGGACTTCAACTTAAAGTGTATTGTGGTACTTTACTTAATTTCTGATACTATGACGAGATTAAAATTAGTTTTGATCAAGAAATTTAAGAGGAACTCGCATAGCATTATTTAGTATAAAAGTAAACGGCAGTGGAGAAGTATATAACAACCTCAGTACTGTTTATATTTCTCAGATTCGGCAGTACATTTGATTTCTTAATATTAAAAAGAAGAAAAGGAAATTTCTCTTGATTAAGAATTTACCACGCACTTCTGTTCTAGTCTAACTTTCAATATAATACTTACAGCGTCGACTTTTGCTGCTGCTCCTACCCAGCTGCCCCCTGGATACGCATATTTCTACGGAGGAATGGCTCCTCAACTTCAAGCTGCGTATGGTCAGACAGGCGTATATCCTACGCCTCATCCAGGCATTGTTCCAACAGCTGCTGGAGGCACTGCTACTACACAGTTCCAGAAGCAGTATCCTTCAAGGTAAACTAAACTTAGCATTTATGTCATTATATTAACGTAAAATCAAGGGACCCTCCATTTATAGACTGGCATGTACGATTTACAACAGTACACTTTATGCTTAGTATTAAGAATGAAAGAGATAACAACATTGCAGATTTCTGCTACAGAAACAATGGACTAAATTATCAGAATCACTTATCAAGCTAATAAAAGACAATTGATTCCACATTTTTTATCAGATAGTCACTAAGTTGGTGTTATAGGAAGGCAGTGGTCTTTTTAGCACTAAAAACTTACCTCTTAAGAAAAAACGTACCTTAATTAATTTAAGTATCAAAAAATTTAATAAGGTTCGTACCATACCATCTTTTAAGTTGTATTAAAACTTATTAAAACTTAATCCTGCGTTCTCGAAAACGTTATATTGAAAGGATCGAAATTGCATAATTTCTTTATATTGTACTCACTGTTGAGGGTAAAAAATAATTCAATATCTCACCATACACATCGTATTATTCAGAACATCGGATTTGGGAACTTTAGAATGGATAACCTTTAATCCCAACTACTTAATCCGAAATCCACTGTGGAAACTTTTAATTTTAGTCCTTAATCCACTCTTTTTCTCTCTCTGTGGATATCCGTACATTGTTTTCTCTAATGAGACTGCAGGAGTATAGTTCGTAAATTTTATTGACCAATGACAGCCTTGAAAATAAATTCTATCCCATGAGAGAAATCGGCAATTTTTAGAAAATAAAGAATATGTTGTCGGCCATTTTGTTAACTAATCGGTGAAGAAAAATATTTAATAATAGGTTTGAGATTCTTTTTTAACCAATTTTAACAAATGTATTAATAAATAAATGCGTGAGAAATTAAGGGAAAGCCCTTCCAGCCAAGAAAACGAACAAATCTGGCGTTCCTAGAATCAAATTTGTTGCTCTAGCCTCTAAATATTTTATCTCGAGACTAACATGATCTCGAGATTATGTTAGTCTCGAGATTAGCAAAAAGAGAGGATTAAGCAATAATCTCGACTTTCACCATTCTAAAGTTCCCAGCTCTGGAAAACTACTGTTAGTACACAAAGTTCTAAAGTGTTCTATCCTAAGTTTGAAGCAACATCATTTGACACTCGTAATACAGTACGCATCCATTCATATATTTGTTTTGTCTGTTTGTTTGTTCCCATTAAATGTCAAAATATCTGAACCGACCAACTCACCATCTCTGGGAAGCTGTAAGACTGGTTTACAAATTTTGAAAATCTACCAAATTGAACAGAAAAATTCGCTAACGACTTTTTAATATTGGAGTACGATCATTAAATTGCGACTTAAAAATAAACCAATAGAAGCTAAAGCTGTTACTTTGGGACAAAGTACGCAATGACATTAACATGTATTTCAAAATTGATTTTTTTTTAAATTGACCCCACCCAATTGGTTAAATCTAACAGAACGTTTTGTTGCAGTTATAACAACTACGATTCTCTGTCTATTGGACAGAACAGCTCGGATTATGGGAAATCCAACTTCGCTACTCAGGCAGGACAGGGCAAAGCAAGCAACTCGAGCACTGCAGGTATCTTACTCACATGGGCGAGGTTGATGCGAGATTTAACATTTCAAAAAATCGATGTTTTTACAGAGGGTTTAACATTTCCCCAAATTATCTCGATTTTCGAAGCGGTGTGGAATAAAAGTAAGGAAAACTTTTCATCTCTTGATTCATTTATTTTTTATCTTAAATCAATCAATTTCCCCGGAAGCTATAATTAGGCGAAAACCAACAAATCAATAATCGAAAGTTTTTTTTTAATAACGGTTAGATATAATTTTTCTTTAATTGTATTTTCTTATTCCAGGACATTGGTACGGAGGTGGTGCTCTGTGGTAAACTGAACACCTGGATAAGCTAGGACAGATCTAAACAAAGACCCGGAGTCCAACCCATCTCTGGATCCTTATCTCCTGATCAGAACTTCTGGTTTGATCTGTCCCCCAGCTCTGCTGCTTTATCTACCATGACTACCATTATGGCAGATCACAATCTCCTGGGATTTGTTCACCATGAATCCAACTATGTTGGATTAATAATCCTGACATCTGGAACCCTTCCCCCCCCCGTCACCCTTTTTGTATAAGATTCTTGAAATTGCGCTCTTTTATAAACTAAATGTCTAAAATTATAAAAATGTTTATATTTGTCATTTAGTTGCTTCTACCAATATTAAGATAGTTGCATTTTAAGACATCAAGTATGTACTTCGCAGGCTCACATATATTCAGTATATTCAGTACATAAACTGGTCACGCGAGTGTACACAAAGCCGTTGAGAACATGTACACTGTGCAGATATATTAGTTTTGTCGCGTGTTTGGTCAAACAATGTGGATTTAGATTGGTCGGCTTTACTTTCAAGTTAATTGATAGATTTAAAGTCTGGTCATCTCTTTCACGTTTACATTTCTTCAACATTTATTGATTAAAAATTAAATAATAAAAGTAGATAATTTCAATTGTGTTTTTTTTTACTCGACTGTTCGGTTTACATTTATCCAAATTAGTTACTCCTACTTTTCAACGGATGTTGGGGCGCATTATTATCCTTATATATGTGTTGAATTGTATTAATACTGTGGCATTCGTAATGTAAATTTGAGGGAGCAACTGTAAATTCAATTATAACTATTTTATAAACTTTTTACAGTTTTGCTCTTTTCAAAATACCAAAAATTAAGTGTTGATCGTGAAGCATATGTACCCACCACGATCATTTTTAGTCTGTAGTTTACCCAACGGCAGATAGGCTAACAGAAAAAAATTGAAAAATTAAATGTTCTTTTGTGTAAAAAAAATGTAAAACGTGGAATTAAGCCACACCAAAACTATCTGTCGTGAGGGTAGCAGGGTGCAGGATTTGTTGTTGTTCTAATGATAAACTACTGGGTTGGGGACGTTATACTAATCACTTGTCTGTCTGCCCGGTCTAATTACGACACGGCGTTGATATTACTTGTTCGCCTGCGCTCAATTGATCTAAAGCGAGCTTGTGATCTTATATTTTACCGATCAGACTAAATTTATTTTCTCTCAACCTGTAATTGATTCATGCTGAAAACTACGTTATTCTAGATTAAATACATATTGATGCCACTATTCTATTGTAATTTTATCGTGGAGAATGCTGAGAATCTTAAAATTGTAAATTGTGTTGTAACCATTCTTTTTGTGTTTAAAAATGTAGAAAATGGAAATGTGGGATTACATGATATAAGAAGAGAGAAAGTATGATGGAAGCTGATGAGATGATTTGCTAATTAAGTTGGACATTTCAAGGATGTGTTCAGATATTCCTGGTTGTATGTAAACTCAGTTCAGAAGACTTGAGGAAACTTGTAAAAATGTCGTTATGACGCTAATGTGAACTGATTTAAGAAGTATCTGAACTAATTGATGCATTTAGTGAACGCAACGCAGGGATTCCTCCAAAATTTGTCGATTGTTTTAGCTGAACAAAACATTTTATTCGAAATTAATTGTAAGATGTGATAATTCATATCGCGTTTGTTTTACAACTTAAGGTAATGTTACTTCTGTCCTACAGCATTTCCGTCCTACAGTAATTCCGTCCTACGAAATTTCGGACCTACGCAACATCGGACCTACGACAGCTGTATGTCGGATGTACATTATATTTTGTTAATCCCACCTACGGAGGAACTGCAGATATTGTCGGTATGTAGTTGATCGAGCGCTGCTTCTAGGACAGGCTATGGGGCCGAGCGCTGCAGTTTTAGCTGAGGTGTGGGGTTAGGTTAAAACACTTAATGTGCGTCTGACCTACAGTAAGAGTGCAACCAACTTAAGAAAGCTGTGCAAGCGACCTACAGTAGGTCGGATACATTAATTTTTTTGTCCATCCGACCTACCAAAGTTGTGCATCCGACCTACAAAAGTTATGCATCTGACCTACTAATGTTGTGCATCCGACCTACTAAATTGGTGCGTACGACCTACTAAGTACTAAAGTTGTGCATCCGACCTAATAAAGTTGTGCATCCGACCTACAAATATTGTGCATCTGACCTACAGAAGAGAGCAAGCGACCTACAGTAAGTTGGATACACTTAATTTTTTTAATGATGTGTGTATCCGACCAACAGCAGCTTGAAGCTGCTAAAAAACCACGTGCGGGTAGGTTCGAAGTATCTTTAGGTGGATGTAATAAAATCGAATTACTTGAAAACTGAAAAGAATGGAGGGAATATGATGATGGGAAAACTGACAAGAATTGAATGAAAGTCACGAGAATGGAGGGAAAGTGACGAGAATGGAGGGAAAATGATGATGGAATAACTGAAGAATGGAGGGAAAGTGACGAGAATGGAGGGAAAATGATGATGGGAGAACTAAATAAAATTATGATGGGAGAACTAAAGGATGGAGGAAAAGTGACGAGAATGGAGGGGAAATGATGATAGGAGAACTGACAAGAATGGAAAGAAAGTGACGAGAATGGAGGGGAAATGAGCATTATTTAGTATAAAAGTAAACGGCAGTGGAGAAGTATATAACAACCTCAGTACTGTTTATATTTCTCAGATTCGGCAGTACATTTGATTTCTTAATATTAAAAAGAAGAAAAGGAAATTTCTCTTGATTAAGAATTTACCACGCACTTCTGTTCTAGTCTAACTTTCAATATAATACTTACAGCGTCGACTTTTGCTGNTCAACTATGGCTTAATGCATTTCAAACGAAAGCTAGGAACCCAGGGAATACAGTAGCAGCAACAAATCCAATGTTTGACCTAATGACCTCTAATGACCTAAATGACCTCCAAAAATGAAAAGGTATGGCTTTATGCATATCAAACGAAAGCTAGGAATCCAGGGAATGCAGTAGTAGCAACAAATACTTAAGCAAAAATTCTTTTCAAGAAAAATCATAACATTCGTACTTAATCAGGAAAGGATTTAAGTTTTAAAAGATTATTTTAAATTATTTGATGAAGGAGTAACCAGACAAATTGCTATGGGACAAGACCTGCTGCATGCTCAAAACTCATGTTTTAGAAAAGATAAATGACGAAAAAATATTCCAGCGAATGACAACAAGCAAGAAGCGCTGACCCATCATTTTACTGATTGTTGGGATTGTTTGTAAAACCAAAATTGTAGATTCTGGAGTTTTAAAATTAATTTCCCGCAGTATTTAAATTTTCAGGATTTTTTTCCATTAAAAATTCTCCCCCCCCCCCTCCGCCAAAAAAACCATCATTTTTTACAATTTGTGATAATTATGATTGATTTAATTCGTTTTAAAATTGTGATTGCACGTAGATGGATGAACCTACAGACTGATATATTTGTTAATAGCTGAAGGGCCCGGCGTTGCCCGTGGAAAAAAATTTAATTAAAAAAAATTTCGAATTTTTTTAGCCTTTAACACCCCCCGGCCACCCATGAGTGTCCACAAAAAAAATTCAGCCCAATCGGTCCAGCTGTATGGACGGCTATAGACAACATATTTATGAATGTCTTGTTTTACTATGTAGATTGATTGATGATTGATTGATTATCTCTGTTTCAGTTCTAAACTATCTAAAATGCCTAAAAAGGTATCTTCTAATTGGCCACATGAGATTGATTGGGTCAGGTCAGGAACATTTCTTTAAGATTTACTAAATGTTTTTAAAAAAGCAGAATTGTCAAATTTTTTGTCTTCGTTTTTTGCTTATTTTTATGTTAAAACTTCAGAGATTCAGGTTTTAAGATTAAAATAACTATTAATTACTACTTAACCGGGAGATTAAGGGAGGATAATTGAGGGGAAAACCACTTAGCCGAGGGCCTTCAAGACCTTTTTGGGGTTCTAAACCTCACGAGCGTAGCGTAGGTCGAGGAGGCCAAAGGCTAAGTGGTTTTCCCCTCAATTTATTTATCCTCATGAAAAAATAAAATTGGGAGAATAAATCCAATTTCATAGAAAAGATAGCTAGATAATAGAAAATGATTTACTAACTGGGAATGTTCATCCCGATCTTAACTTTGAACTTTTCAGACGGAGTTTGACCACCACTCCTAGCAAGCGTGGAGCTGAAGGAAGGATTACGACGGTCCGGCTGGAAGATACCATGCCGGACCGTCGATATAGAGATGGCACCGTGGCAATCAGGTCACTATGCGCTTCAGCAATTTTTATTTTGTTTTTATTATTTTTTAATAATTTAGTAGACATCACCTTCTTAGAACAATTCTGGCAATGAATTTCTTTATGCATGCTGTGCCAAAAAAGGAACAAGTAGGGGAATAAAAGGAGGGTCATGAAAGAGGAAGAAGGACAAAACTATTGAATATTTCCAATGACTTGAAGGACAACATTTTAAATAGAACTTTTACCTTCTAATAAAGTTACTGAACCTACATATTTTTGTCGATTAAAGAAAGAAAAACAAAAAAATTGGCATATTTTCCATTTTTCATTTGTGGATTCCATTTTTTATATGTTGTCCGCCCATGAGACAGACCAATAAAAAATGTTTGTTTCAGGGTGAGTAACATATCTGAGAACGTCCAAGAGAATGACCTCCAGGAGCTGTTTAAATGGTACGGTCATGTTGCCAGGATATTCTTTCCCAAGAACAAGGTTACAGGACTCTGTAAGGTAAGCTACTTATTCATTCATTCATTCATTAATTTATATATATATATATATTTATTCCAAGGGGATTTTTAAACTTTTTTTTTGGCTGTAGGAATGATTAAAAACATTTTTTTATTCTTTTATTCAATTCCTAATACACTGGGTTTTGGGGTGGGGTGATTTTTATCTATATATCCCCTTTTATCTACTAATTAGATGACATGCGAGATATCGATTAATTTGATTAATTATATTCTATAAAAAATCATTAGAATTGAAAATGATTATTGTATTAATTATTTTCCAAGCACTAATCTGTTCTCTTTCCGGGTGTTTAACCAATTGGATGCTTATTTCCTTTAACGCCAACTTAGTTTAATTGAGATAAAACCACTCCTGGCCATGAAGGAATTGCTAATATCTCTCAGGCTCTCAGGTTGTCATTGCTCAATTGAAAAATGGTTCTCATTTGTCATGAATACTGATTGAGCAACAGTTAAACGTTATAGTATTAGAAAATTTGAAAAATATTTCACTCTAAAAAATCATAGATTCTATTGTGGATTTAAGTTTGATTGATTAATATATAAATATCCAGGGATTCGCCTTTGTCCACTACTACAAGGAGGAGGAGGCGGCGAGGGCGATTGCTACCCTCAACGGCTACGGCTACGATCATCTTATCCTTAGCGTGAAATGGGCTAAATCTTAAACTGATCGTTAATTCGCCATCTTCAAATAAAAAATTCCACATTTATTGTGTTTGTTGAATAGAAGAGATCAGGTTTTATCTCCCCCCCCCCCATTCCTCTGCAGATTGTTTTTTCTTAATAATTGTAAAAATAAGATTTTAAGTATCACATGTTTGATAAATTAAACAATAATTATTCTTTTCTCCCCTAGATCCAAGTTGAAGCTTTTTAGTTAGAATTTAAAAATATTTTACGATTTTTCAAGAGAATTGGTATGTAAGAAATTTAATGCAAACATTTTGAAAAATAAAATTTTTCAAAATTTCTATAATTTTGGAGTAAATTGGTGTTTTCATTAGAATCAATGTCAGTAAATTTTCGATTTTTTTATAAATAGTAGTTCTACTTTGACAGTCTTGTAACAGGTATAATGGTAAGTGTATAAAATTTAACAGATAACAAATACGTAATTGTTGGAAGATACGATAAGTAATAATCCTCCCTGTGATCCATACAGATTTATCAAATAAATAGTTTTCTAATTTTATTTATATTTACATTTATCGCGCTCTCTATTAATTTTGAATAAAATAGTTGAAACAAGTAAACTACACCTAGTTTAATACTTGATCCAGGAAAGATCAAAACATGTACATACAGCTCTACTGAGCTGTCATCAAATATATTATATTACATCATTCTTTTCGGGTTTAAATAATTACATTGTAAAGTTGTTCCCATGAAAATGTTCAATAATTACTATTTTGTCTGCATTTTGAATCAAGGGCTTTCTACTCTGAGGAGGTGAAGCTGAGGAACACTTTTCAATATTCTCTATACTGACTTCGCTAACCTCTGTTTTTTCTACTTGATTAGAAGGTCCTTGAAGTTTATTAGCCATGGATTTTACAGAAGCTTTGCTGGATGATACATATTCTTGAGGCATGCTCGGATTAGACCATCCATAAAAATCCATAAGCTGTTGAACGGATGCTCCGCTGTCAGCTGCTGCTGTGGCGGACGAGCGTCGTAGAGAATGAAAAGTAAAAGATACTGGATTATCTAGACAAAGAACTGTTGCCATTTCACATAGCACCTTACTTACAAGATTTTTCCCCATAGGCTGGTCAGCATCTGCAGCAGGAGTACCCTTAAAAAATACTCGACCAGTGAAATGACCGAGGCTACTTATAATCACGTTCAGATAATCATCAATAACAGCTGCAAAATTTCTGGCCCATCGTTAAGTACTAGGAACTTGGTTTCCTGGCTTGTCTGAGCGCTGTTTCGACCTACACTGTGTTACAAGCATCCCATCATTCTTTTTCACCATCTTCTCAATTTGAAGGTCCATCAACTCCACATGACGAAGCCCTCCAAAGTATGCTAGAATGATGATGACCTAAAAAAATATGAATAAATCTTTCATACTCTGTCTTTATCCATAATATGTAAATTCAGGAACAAATATTTGTTTGCCAGAATCAAAATCAACAAATTTTTTAAAAACAACTTATTTTTCTTGTTTGTACTGTGATATGTAATATTCATCTACTGTGCAATGAACAAGGTTACCCACAAAGATTGAGCATGCAGATACAACTATAAAAAATGTTTTGTTTTCCTGATTTCCTGACGCTATAAACATTTTTTATCAACTGAAATGATATGTAACTTAATTAAAGAATTTTTCCAAGAACCTAATTCAACCTTTTTATTGAATTTAGAGTTTTAGGTCCAAATTAAAGTCTCATCCTGTTTAGGTGACCCTGTTTAGTGTTTATCTATTTGTTACCTTTCTAACTTGCCAATATAGTGAGTTCTCAGGGCGTTCAATGAACTGCTGACTGTCATCAGATTCAAATACTGCTTTACATCAGATTAAATGTGAAAATTCAAGTCTTATATATTCGTAGTATTATTGAAAAATTTTATTTGTTATTCTCCTAATTTGTTTTTGTAAAAATCTCGCATCTTTTAGTCTATTTAATAGGGTACATTCACTTACACACTTATTAAAACCTATTTCTAGACAAAAATGTTTAAAACTAAGAAGACTTTATTTCAACCTCCGCGGATTAAACAAACAATCGGGGCCGTTGGTCTTCAATCTTCTCCTAGCAAACAATTCATCGGAGCCATTGGAAGTAAAACACCTACTGGAGCCACTGATCGTCAAATTCCTCGTAGCAAACAACTCATCGGAGCCATTGGAAGTAAAACACCTACCAGACCCGTTGAGAGTACTCATACTACTGGAGCCAATGAAAGTAAACATTCTACCGGAGCCGTTGAACTGAATGCAGGAGGCGGGGACAGGAAAAGGTTTACTCTGAAGGAACCATTGCCCCTGAATTCGAAACAGAAGCTTGAGGAAAAGAGAATTTTAATTTTTCGCCTTTCCAGGAAAATATTAAATAAAATAACTTTTTTTAATATCTAACCCCTCTACATTATATTTGGAATTTTTTTTTTACAAAATTAGTTAAAATGGTTTTCCTAAGCTTCGATAAACGAAATGAGAATTAGGACTTGTATTTTGTTACAAATTCATTTATTTTCCATAAAGTATCGAAAGACTTCCTAAGTAACTATTTATAAAAATATTAAAAACCATCTGATTTATTTATAATTCAAGGCTGGGTTTTAATTAAACTTCTTTTTGGGTATTAGCTTACTGCGGATACTGATGATATTTCATCAATTGGATCTGAAGGATCTCAAGGTTCGGAGATCTCCGATGATATCGGATCGAAACCTGCCTGGCTCGTCAAGATTCTGAAGAGTAGGAAATCAAGACAAGATCAGTCAATGGTAAATCATAGTCTTTTATAAGCTACCCGATAAACCAACCTGAAAAACGTGTTATGATAGGGATTTGGATCCGGATGACTGAACATACAGGGTGTCCCACGAAACATGACAATAGCAAGACGACTTGAAAGTCGTCTTTGGTATTTGAATTTATTTGTGACATTTAGTCTTCTATCTACTTTTACATGTATGATTCTTGAAACAATTAACACATAACTCTCCTAGCCCTGGCATTTCCAAAAAGTGGTCTGCGTTTTGTTTGCTTTCAATATTTTCGGAGATATAAAGAGTTTGGTTCAGATTTTAATTTTGCTAAATAAAAGCAAAATTGTCGAAATCTGAACGAAATTCTTCATATCTCAAGCAATATTGAAAGCACAAAAATGGCTGACCACATTTTGGAAATGGCAGGACAAGGGAAATTTTGTGATTATTATCTCTAGAAATTTACTTCTAAAATTAGGTTGACAAATAAACGCAGCAAATTATATCAAAAATCAAGACGACATTCAAGTCGTCCTGCATACTGTCATGTTTCGTGGGACACCCTGTATCTACATATCTTGTTAATCCAAAGGTTTATCCGGATTTGGATTATAAAATCTACTCACCTAATTCTTCTTTATCAATTAAGTTTAAAATTATCCCTGGACGTAAGAAACTGGTAAATGTTAAAGTTTCTACACTCTGGATGCGTGCTCATAGTGATATGTCCGATTTACAACGGTATCCTGAAAAGCTTGTTTATAAATTAGAAAACTGACTTTTTTCAATTGTGGTTTCCACAAAAGTGACTTAGGCATTTCTACTGCAGGAAAACAATGGATAAATAATCAGAATTAAACCCTTTTGAGCAGACAAGCGATGTTATTTTACACACTTTTAATTAATACCCCTCTTTAAATTACGTATGCAGAGTGCAGACCCTTTAAAAAAAGATTTCACAGCAATCTCAGATTCAGTAAAAAAAATACAGAGCTATGATAATCTGGTCAGACTTAAACTCCAGGCCTTGGCTCTCGGATTTACCGTTCAACCAACTCGTGCTTTTATGTAATACTAGCTGAAGGACCTGGCGTTGCCCGTGGAGAAAAAAGCCAAATATTTTGACCTTCCATGAGTGTCCACAAAACATTTCAGCCCAATCGGTTCAGCCGTTTGGCCGGCTATACGCAACATACATTTGAATGTCTTGTTTTAATATATAGATAGAAAAAGATATTAGATTAAATAAGATTCTTAAAACAGGGAAAGCTTTTGTCTAGATTTAGTTCTAAAGGAACTGAGTTCTTGCAACAAATCCATTTTTTTAAACCCTTATATCTAGCTTAGCAACCTTGTGGTTGATGCCGTAGACCTTGGTTAGTTCAAATAATAAATACTGTTAAATGAATTATTCTTAAGTATGACAATGACATATCAAAACGTTCACCATCAGGTTGAAAGATATGGGGATTCAAAAATTTGAGTGTGTTGTTTATTAGTTTAGAGTAATTGATTGGATTCCTAAAACTTGTATAAATTTATTATTCAGAGTTCGGAACTCTCTAGTTCTCAAGAATCCTGCCAGGATTCTGTCAACTCTGAGAACGAGGTTTCAAGTCAAGGCTCTCTTGGTTCAAAGAAACAAGAATCAAGGGTTGTATCTCATCTAAGAGTTGACTCCGGGAGCACGATGGAAAGTCAGAACTTACTAGCAACATCTAGTCCAGCGGAGAACCTAGGATTTCCTTCTCAGTCTGGGGGTTTCAAGAGATCCAAGTCCCAGACTAGTTTGTTGTCCCAATCCTCGAACTGGAGCGGGTTTCTGGGACTAAGCTCATCTCAGCCTACCCCCGCCCTAGGATCAGCGTTTCTGCATCATGATGAAAACCAATCTGTGGATGGTTCCGAGAATTCGCAATCTGTATTGGACACCCAATCCTCTCAAGAGATAGGAAGCTTCAAGCTGATGAAACGAAGTGTCTCCCAGTCCAGATCTGTATCCGGGTCCCTCAACAAACCCAAGATAAAGAGGTCCAAGAGTTGTGCAAGTCTGGAGAAAGAGTCTCTGGTTCCAACCCGAAAGAAGTGTGTTCTCCCTCAACCTAAAATACCAAGTTTGGATCATATTCGAACTCTTGCTAAGGCTGCACGAAGCGCAACCTCCAGAAAGGTAAAATATTCACATTTTCAATGTTTTTTCTTAAATAAGATCTAGTATAAGAGAAAGATTTGAAGTAAGATTTTCAAATGTTTATAAATATAGTTCACTTATACTAATTACTAACTGAGGATGACGACCGGCCGGAACTGTTTAAATATAATCTAAAGATTGATTTGGTCTTTCATTTGTCTTTCATTGTACAGGTATCAGAGAAGGACGTTGAGAAAAACACACCAGTGTCTAGTCAATGCCTGGAGAATTTCCTACTTGAATCAGGGTCTAATATCTTCCAAGATTCAAACCAAATCGAGAATGATAGATCTTTAGGTTCGTATTCAACAAAAATACTATTCATGATCTAAAAACTTAAAAACCTTTCCATGTAACCCTTTATACTTAGTCTGCGATGAACAATTCACATTGGTGCCCTGGCCATATTAACCTTCTCCCGCAAATTCCGTCCTTTTTTTTATAATGTTCAGATTTAGAATTTTACGAATAACTGGTCGCAGTTAAAAGACAGTTTTATCATAAGATACCGTGGTTTCTCGTGGTAATTTTAATTTTTCAGTTAAAATACGAAATTAAAATTTTGAGTGAAACCCCAGATAACAATTAAATGTTTAGTGTTAGTAGACATGATAAACATGGAAAACACCCCTCGTACAGAACCCCAGGATCCTGGACTACCTCCTACCCCAACAAAGATGAATATTATTAAACCCAGGAATTCTGAAGTCATTGATAGCTTCGATTCGCTGAGTTTCCTGGGGAGGGATTCGGTCACTACGAACCCTAAAACAGCAGCTCCAGACTCGGAAACTGAACCGGAGAGAGTTGAGCAATCCACAGACCTGGAGAGTTTACAAAAGGATAGTGAAGATACTAATAAAACTGCAATGGGGCTACCCAGCAAGATCCTAAACGGTAAAAAATTGTCAATTACATTAACATAATCATTAGAGATTCCATCCACGGGGATTTAACGGTTCTGTGAATATTTTCAAAAGCTTTGCCTTTTGATCAATTTGACCCGTTAAAAAGAATTTTTTAACCTTTTTCTCAAATACTTTTTTGTCGGCATATACGTTATGAATGAAAAAGTATAGAATAAACAAAACCGTAAGTTTAAAGATTGTTGAATTATAGACCAAAACACGTGTGATTTCAAATAAAAGAAACCGAATGCTTCTCACTCTGGTTAGTCTTGGGTGCATCTAGGTTTATTTATTTTTAAAAAATCGATTAATGATGGTTTTTGACATATTTTAGAAATTAAAATTAGCTTTATCACTCCAAACTAGAGACTCTTAATGATTATTTTACTGTTCCAGTTCCAAAGCATAACAAAAAACAGATGTCATCATTCTTCACTTTGCATTTATTTATACTTTTCCGGCTAGCGTGTACTGAGTCTACCCGTGTACTGAATCCACCAAAAAATATAATCTTATTATTACATGCATATATCGAAATTTAGGGAAACCGGAACCAGAAAATGAGAAGGCTGAAAACAGCGGAAAAAGAGACCATAACATAGATGACAAGGATAGATCTAACGAAAAGAACGGCGGAATAATTGAAAAGGATGGCGGAGATAATAGGAAGGATGGTGGTGATAATTATAAGGTTGGTGGAGAGAAGAAGAATGGCGGAGACAATAAGAAGGTTGGCGGAGATAATAAGAAGAAAAGCGGAGATAATAAGAAGAATAGCGGAGATAATAAGAAGATTGGCGGAGATAAGAAGAATGGCGGAGATAAGAAGAATGGTGGAGATAAGAAGAATGGTGGAGATAAAAAGAAGGATGGCGGAGATAAGAACAAAATCCCTCTTGTCGAGAAGAAACCAAGAGGAAGGAAGCCAGGCCAGAAAACAGGTATCAACAGCAGCCAAGGTCAGTTTTAATCTAATTCATTTAAAAGATACCTTTTTCAAAGATTATTATTTATTTAGAGTTTCATCTTTTTTTCATATAATTCTGTTTATCTTTACATAATTATTTATGAATTTTATCGTAAAAAGGGTTCAGAGTTTAACTTTAAAAGGTAAACAAAAACATTGACTAAAACGGAAGTTTCAGGAAAATTTCATTCTTGAAAAATTTTAAACTCGAAAAAAATCTTAGTTTATGAAAGGAATTTAGTCTTTGCCACAAATTCAGCTTTTGTAAAACCTATATCTTTGCAACCTTATGATATAAACCATTAATATTTCAAACTTACATTATTTGATTTAACAGAATTCATAGTTTGAAATAATAAAGGTCATACGACATTGGGTTGCAACGATATTGAAATTAGAGAATCAGAGTTTGTGGCGAAAACTCAATTCCTTTATGTTATGTTATGTCATTTATGTTTCGTGATCAAGTCTGAAAATGCAAAGAGAAACATATTTAAGATAAACTAATACAGGGACACAAGGTTCTGAGAAGCTAGAGAAAGAATCAAAGAAGAAAAACACCCAGACCTCTCAACTATCTTCTAAACCTGCTTCAGATATTAGTCGGCCATCCAGCTCTCAGACCAGGATTAGCAATGTTCCTACCAGAAACAGTTCTAAAACAAGGGTAATAACACCATTTTAATACTTTTAAACTGTGTGTTGAATGTTAAGTTAGGAGAACAATTTATTCGAAATTTTTTTTAATAACATCTCCAGTTTCCAAAGATTCTAGACGCTTTTGAGCCTTTGAAGCAATAATTTTTTAAGGAGATATTTTCATTTAATTTAGGATAAGTCGAAGGCCTTTATAAAGTCTCATCTCAAATTTTCATTTGAAAATGAACATGAACTTACATTTAAAGCAAAACGAAAGTATCAATTCCATTAGTGCCTGATCCAATCAGAGTTCAGTCATGTGTTTGGTGTCTATTCTGAACCAATAAATATTGCTTAACAGTATCAACTATCTTTCTATCTATCTCATTATCCTATAGAGATGAATCCTTATGGCTAAACAGTAAATCGAATATATAATCCTACTGAAACTACAGTGTGACGGATTAACTTAATCCGCCTAACACTTAAGAAAACGATTTGTACTTGCTTAAGGGACTTAAAATTCCAAAGTTCATGCCTCGGATCAGGATTTAGAATTGTGATTGTTTACTTTATCATGCAATAATGCGTTGTTTTTGAATACAAATACTTAATACTAGCGTTGAAACGCAGCTTTGTTTAAGTGACTAAAAATTCCAACGTTCAGGCCTTGAATTAGGATTTAGACTTGTGACTGTTTTATTATCATGCAATAATGCGTTGAATTTGAATACTAATACTTAACACTAGCGTTGAAACACAGCTTTGTTTATGGGACTAAAATTCCAAAGTTCAGGCCTCGGATTAGGATTTAGACTTGTGATTGTTTACTTTATCATGCAATAATACTTTGTATTTGAATACATATACTAAATACTAGCGTTGAAACACAGCTTTGATAAGAACCTAAACTTTCCCTGAAAGAGTCAACCCACTAAGGCAAGATCAAGAACCGAGTTTCCGAATCTAATTTTGAGACAAATCGATCAAAGGGACATGAGATATGATCTGTAAAACAAACAGACACACACTTTACACATGAGATTGAATGTATCTATTCAATAATCTTTAAAATCCACTGCTATAGGACGATCTGTTGGATCTAATAATCTGTAAAATCCCCTGCTATAGGACGATCCGTTGGATCTAATAATCTGTAAAATCCCCTGCTATAGGACGATCTGTTGGATCTGCAGAAGAGAAGGGAAGGGATGATGACCTGGGTTCTCTGTGATGATAAAAACTGTGGAAAATGGAGACGGATCCAAGAACAAGGTTTTTTTTCTCAATTTTGTCAATATCAATTTTTTGCTGTTTTATTTGAGTACTGAAATGTCAATGCCAAATTAAGGATAAATACACATATGTAGAATGTAGATGAAGAATAGATAGTCATTAAAAAGTATTTAAAAAGTATATTCGTTAAATATTTAAAAAATAAATGATCTGAAGTTTTGAAAATATTATATAGCTTCTGAAATATTAAATTAAATGTTAATTTTGAAATGTATTTATAACGCCTATGAATGAAATTGATATATTTTGAATTTGATCAGATCCAACTGCTCTGCCACGTGTCTGGTACTGTAGGAACAACCCGGATGAGAAGTACAACAGGTTAAACTTTATTAAACTTGAAACAAAATTTATTTAAATTTTAGAAGATTTTGTTTAAGAATCTATAGTTGATCTGAATAAACAGATTGCGAAATTATTTTTAAAAATACAAATACATAAGTTAAGAGAGAATTTTGATTTTTGAGAGAATCTATTATGAAAGAACTGCTGAAAGAACTGAACTCGCTGCTAATTTCAATACTCTAATCCTAATATTTTTGCAACCAGACTGCAAATATCTGTGCAATTTTTAACTATGATTTCTGCCACATTAAATAGTCAAAGTTTGAAATTTTAAAGGTTTGCACTATATGGTTGCAAAGATAAATGGATTAGAAAGTACGAGCTTGTGGCAAGTTATCAGTTTATTAATATAACTAAATATTTTAATAACTAATTACATTTCTAATGCAGATGTGATATTCCTGAAGAGGAGTGTGATCCCAAACTTGAAAGTTTATGGGTTGAGACCAGGTAGGATTTTAGTCTTCGGTCCACAGATTTCACAGACAGTACAATGGATTTTAGTCTTCGTTTCACAGATAGGACAAGGGGGTTTAGTTCTCCTTTCACAGATTTCATAGATAGGACAAGGGGTTTAATTCTCATTTCACAGATAGGACATTCAATTTTAGTTCTCATTTTACAGATTTCACAGATAGGACAAGGGGGTTTAGTTCTCGTTTCACAGATTTTACAGATAGGAAAGAGATTTTAGTCTTCGTTTTACAGATTTCACAGATAGGGAAAAGGATTTTAGTTTTCGTTTCACAGATTACATAAATAGGACAAGTGAAGCTTAGACATTAGTTTAATTTTGCAAGTTCAGGAACATCTTCCATAATCTTCACAATCTAAATATGTTGTTATATACCCGGTCACAGGAGAATCATAAAGTAGTTTAAGTATGCAAGTTCAGGAACATCTTCCATAATCTTCACATCCTAAATATGTTGTTATATACCCGGTCACAGGAGAATCATAAAGTAGTTTAGGGTCAATGAGTCCAAACAGTCATCTTAAAGGGACTGAAGGTGTAATTTTAAATAATACGCTATTTATGAACTGCCATGCCTGAATCATAACAGTACACTTGAGACAATTATTGGATGAATAATGTAGAAGATAAAGTCGTAGTAGTCTAATTTTGATAACCTCTACATTGTTTTCCTGTAGTAGAAATTCGCCATTCACAAGCCACAATTGAAAATAATTAATTTCTAAAATTATAAACATGGATATCTTATTCGTATTTGATTAGACAACGCTTATAAGGGTACCGTTGTGAAGCGGATATGCCACAATAAAAATGGCGGATAATTTGAAATTAAACGTTTAAATAGACACATAGTTTTACATATTAAAGTTGATGTTTTTGTGAAATATTTTTAAGGCACTCTCAAATGAAATTTTACTTAATAATCTGCTGAAGGTATACGGCTGGTTCTTTGGTTTGGGCAAAAACTCCTGGTTGGCCCGCCTGGCCCGGGATGGTCGACGATGATCCGGATACAGGTATTAATCATTGTTCCGATATCCTCCCAAAAATCTGACATTTTCCGAATTAAGATATCCGACTGTCCATGTTAAGAGACTTGCTAATTGAATTAATCGTCAAACCTGACAAAATAATGAAATACGTTAGCTAGACTTTGTAAACCCAATGAAGCAATGTAATGCTACGTAGATTACTTAAAATCAAAGAAAGTAAAACATGTTCTTAGGGTTTATATATATATGGAGAGAATAGAATATATCAGTAAATAATTTTAAAGAGAATATAGAGAATACAGATAAACATGTAAAACATGGAATACCTACATAAAGTTTACTAACGAGAAATAAGTGATTTTATTTTAGGCGATTTCTTCTGGACAGTTGGCAACAAGATTAGCTATGAGGTTCAGCCCGTCTCCTATCATGTTGTTTTCTTTGATTCTCGTCGTCAGCCCATCTCCCGTTCCTGGATACAGACTCAACACTTATCCAAATTCTCAAAGGACAACGTCAAGGTAATTTTACGACTCTAAATATCATGGATTAGAATAGTTTTCTATCCCTAGCAATAGTCTCTGATTTCAATTATTTTATTTCTTTATATAACCCACTCCGATCTAGACATATGGAGAAGGTCAACTTTATGTGAAATCTAGTGAGCTCGCAGCTTCTCTATTATTGATTTTACGCGCCAGTATGCGAAATTGCATTTTGTTGTTACAATTCATATTAGTGAGTTCGCATGCTAAAAATCATCATCCTAAGACAATGCTAAGTTATGTTTGAACACTGTTTAGATTTTCCGGAGAGTAATACGACTTATGGCCTCCCCCCTTTATATCAGAATTTAAAAACTATTTTGTTCTGTTTAAAAGCTCTTCAAACAGAGGAGTTCTGATGTAAAACATGTTTTAGATTTATATCTAACATATAAGGAATTGAGTCTATGAGACAAACTAGAATTTTGTAATGCCTTTATCTTTGCAACCTGATGGTTTACACATTTATCATTTCCAATTAAACTCTGGACTTAGAAACCAATAATTTTGTTCCTTTAGGTTGAAAGTGTGACTGGAAGAGCCAAGATTGCTGCGCAGATAGGTTTAGAAGCTCTGGAGCTGGATATTCTTGAGAGAAGGAAGAAATACTGCTTTGCAAACAGGTAACATTTAAGAGATTGTCCGGGTTTGCTAACAGGCAACATTCACGAGATTTTCCTGGTTTGTTAACAGATAACATTAGGTAACATTCACGTTCGGGTAGGCCAACCGTTAATATTTAAGGGATTGTTCGGGTTGGCTAACAGGTAACATTTAAGAGATTGTCCGAGTTTGCTAACAGGTAAAATTCATGAGATTTTCCGGGTTTGCTAAGAGGTAACATTCCAAAGATTGTCCGGGTTTGCTAACAGATACCATTTAAGAGATTGTCCGGGTGTGCTAACAGGTAACATTCAACCGATCGTCCGGATTTGCTAACAGGTAACTTGCAAGATATTGTCCGAGTTGGCTAACAGGTTACATTCAAGAGATTGTCCGGGTTTGCTAACAGGTAACATTCCAAAGATTGTCTGGGTTTGCTAACATGTAAAATTCAAGAGAGTGCCCGGGTTGGCTAACAGGTAACATTCAAGAGTTGCAGATAACAAATAAAAGATTTCCGGTTTTCCCCCTCCTTCAAATAAACTAAATTTGTCCACTAATTGTAGTCCAAAAACAACAGAGGAACCTATCAAAGTCTTAAAACTTAAATTAAAAATACATTTTATAGATTCAAAGGACCATGGGGACCCTCTTGGCTGGATGATATAGACGTTGAGGTCACTGCTACTCCTGAACCCGTTATCGAAAAGAAACAGAAGAAGGAGAAGAACCCGGAGAAGACACTGAAACCAAGACCCAGCTCAAGGTCTAACAGGGACAAGCGAGATTCCTCAGAGTAAGTATCTATTATATATAACTCATGAAACCCTTGACTAAGGAATTGAGTCTTTGCCACAACCTCTGATTTTCTAATTCCTATATCTTTGCAACCAAATGTCGCAACTATAAGTTCTGTAGGATCAAATAATCTAAGTTTGAAATACACCATCTGGTTGCAGATATATAGGGATTAGAACATTTGAGTTTGGGGCAAAAACTCAATTCCTTTGCCTTAAATATTAGCTCATGAAGGTTCTTAGCTTGGTTTAATAGTTGAATGGGTTTACTTTTATAAAAAAGTTTAGTTTTCAGTCAAATCTGGGTTTCTAAGCCAGTCTTGAAATTAATTATTAATTTTTTGGTTCTTCATAATTCTTGTTTTTTTTCAGAGCTGAAATTATATCCACTGAGCAAATGAGGAAGAAAGGAAAGGTAAGAAAACATATATGAAAATCAGGGTTTATAAAAAGTCTAGTTTGATAAGATTGGTAATTCAGATTGTTATCTTTTTATTAGATTGGCAGCTTACCAATTCTAGATTGACTTATTTTAAATGAGCAGATAATCCTGATGATATTTCAGAACCTCTTTTGGGATTTTAAAATAAAAAAGGTGTAGAACTGTATCTTTGTTCTTTAGTTCAGTGAAACGGAAGCCTCAGACGGAGCCCCAGTTAAAGCAGCTGAGCCAAATCTGCCCCCAACAATGAAACCTGGTCCTAATCATGACGATGGGATTAAGGTGGTTGCTAAGAAATCACTGGTTGAACCTGTTCAGGACATGGTAACTTTATTACGCATATTGAAAACATTTTTTATGCTAAACCAGAAATATTTAAATAACTAACCTTTTGGGATACTTAAAATTATTTTGTATAAGAAACTAGTTTATGGGGGCACGGACATTTTGAAAACTAGATAACAAAAATGTTACTAAAAGTATGTTTTCTAGAAGAAAAGGAACCGTGCTCTGGTGTTTAGTGATGGTTCAGGATCAGATTCATCTGCAGAGTCAGACCAGGTGAAACGACATTTATATCCTGTTATAAATCCACAATCTCTGATATGTCTGTGTCCTAATTATTTTTCTACTACTATTAGTAATAATTATGTCGGTTTAAGTTTCTTCCTTTGAAACAGAGAATGTCGACCTTTAGCTAGAAAAGATCCCATATTTGAAGTTATCTAAACGCTTTGAGCCCAGTTTTGAGCCCTTTTCTTAGAAGTTGCTGATTTCCCAAAGGAATTGAGTCTTTGCCACAAACTCAAATTTTTTAATCCCTATATCTATGGAACCTGATGTTGTAGACTTTATTTCAAACTAATTGATTATTTGATGCAACAGAATTCATAGTTTGAAATATCTAAGGTCTACGACACTGGGCTGCAGAGATACAGGAATTAGAAAATCTGAGTTTGTGTCAAAGACTCAATTCCTTTGCATTTAAATTTTCAAAAGTAGCGGACTTTGCGATTAGCTGTTCTTTTCTAACATTTATTATTATATTAATAGGAATCTTCTAGCACTATTAAACCGAAGAAGAAGACAAGGAAATCCAAGAAGATGAAAACTGCTGGAAAGCCTATGAAGAAGATCTCTGATTCTGGAAAGAGAGATCTGAAGATCAATGATAATCCAAAGAAAAGAGAAAGCAGATCTATTAAGATTAACTCTAACGAGGACCAGATTGTTGTCTCTACATCTAACATTGACGAGACAGAAGAAACTAAACAGAAGAATGAGGTAACATAAGAATTTCGGAACCCTAATTTATTGTTAACTTAATCTAATATGTAATATGTCTAGCTCCTGGTTCAGGGTTTTCGACTAACTTGACCCAGTGCCAAAGTTACGTCACGTAGATACATATACATACATGTATTTGTTTAAGTATTGCATAACAATAATATAATAATAATTAAATTTTTGAGATTTTACGTCACGTAGATACATATACATACCAATTAGATTATAAAGTACAATAGGTGGCAACAAAGAAATGAATCAATTATACACGACGTCACAGTGTCAAATAAACCAAGAAAAACAAAATTTTCTCACATTAGTTAACATGTGTTCCAAGATCAAATAAAAAAGTGTAAAAACAGAAAATAAAGAACACATAAAATTGCACTTATTAAACTGTAAGATAAGCACTTTATTCTAAGATTATCACTATTTTTAATAATTTTGACACTTGTGACGTCTGAATACAGCTGTACTGAGAGTGTACAAATTCTACGTTGCCATCTATTGTAATATACTAGAATCTATTTGATACATACATGTATGTGTATAAGTATTGCATAAAAATAATATAATAATAATAATATTTTTGGGATTTTACGTCATGTAGATATATATACAATATACATACATGTGTATAAGTATTGCATAAAAATTAAATATAATAAGGTCAAGATTTATATTGACCAGTTCAGGGTCCAGTCTTTTAAGAAAGGTTTCAGCAATTCCATATTATTACATTTATTAATCGTATTGATTAAGGTTGAGTTTGTTCAACCTATTCTCATGGAACAGATGAAAGATGTTTTTAACAAGTCTATGTATACTCAGGTAATTGATTTATGTGCAATTCAGGATTAATTTGTTTACGTGTTCAAAAATATATTATAAATACATATATATATATATTTGCTGATCAGTAATCACTGTCGTCAGAACGTGTGAAACCGAAAAAAAGCTATTGTAGTAAAAGCTAAATTTTTCCAGGACTTTATTTTAAGCTACTTAGTTCTCTTTTATATATAAATCATCAGAATATTGTCCGTTTCTCCTAGGTTTTAAAAGGAATTCTTTAACCCGCTTTCATATTTTTTGGCTTTCGAGAAATTGAACATTTTCAAATGTACTGGGAGCTTTTAAGCCAGATAATTGAACAAACTCCAACTATACTTACAACTGCTAGGAGATGAGCAATGTACTGAACAAGAGCAAGGATTTATCCTTCTCCTACGATATCCTGACAGAGATGAATGAGATGAACGACAGCAAGTTCGGAGAAACTATTCAGGTAACCAAGAACACACACGTTATCTCTGACCGCAAGAGATCGTCAATTTGTGAGCGAGTGCAAACGTAATTTCAAGTTATCTTCAATTCATAGAGTTTCATGTCAGAATCACAAAGATTTTAAACTATAAAACTTTGTCTGATCAAGTATGAAGTAGAAAACCATGTTGTTAATTTTAAAAACGAATTATTTTCAATTGTGGCTTCTCTACAAAACTACTGCTACTAATACTGCAAAAAAAAAAAAAAAATTAAGAAACAATCAAAATTTAACACTTAAACTAGAAAATCGACTTTAAAGGAATTGAGTCTTTGCCACAATGTCACAATGGAACCCAATGTCGTAAATTTTTGATATTTCAAACTTATATTATTTGATCTAAAGGAATTCATAGTTTGAAATATCTAAGGTCTGCGACAGAGTTTGTGGCAAAGTTTCCTTTTGCTTACAGTCCTTTATTAAAATTATATTTTTAGTTATAAATTTAGAAATCTCCATGTTATGTAAATGTCCTTTTCAATTGAACATCTATTTTGTATTTAACTTGTTTGGGCGATTTTTAAAGCTGGATATTTAATTAAATTATTCAAGTAACTAAAAATAGATCTACAGACCTTTTTTAGATGTAAACAATAGACATGCTTTAACGTTCCATAAATGAGATAATTAAAATTTACATATTGTAGGGTATTCTCAACCATCTTTCCGAGGAGGAGGAGGAGGAAGAGAAGGATGGGGAACCATCTCAAGTTCTCCACCAGCTCACAGTACCTGTTGAAACTAGCACCCTGGAGCCTGAACTAGGATTAGTTCCGGAGCTAAAGGAAACCACAGACAGGGTTGCAGAGAATGATGTTATTCCTGTTTCCGTGGAGATCCTCGCTACTCCGTCCAAGACGAGTCCCAGTGCTAATAATCACCTGGATTCAGATATGTTTAGGAACTCGAATTTCGTCCCTCCGTCTATGGAGGATCAGATGAACTCGTCTGATCTTAAATTAACCATCAACAATATGGACACAGACAGGGTGAGAAACCATTATTTTTTTTGTTAAGTAACTGTAAGCGTTATTTCAAGTGACCCTCCATGTAAAGATGGTAATGCCCGATTTACAATGGTAACTTTAAAACCTTAATTTGATAAAAATGTGGAAGATATCGTCATTTGTCCGACATGAAAAAAGATATTTCTTCGCGTAGAAGCGTAATTTCAAGTGACCCTCCATGTAAAGATGGCTATACCTGAATTACGAGTGTACCTTTGAATCCCTAATCTGATAAAAATGTGAAAGACACTGCCGTTTGTCATTTTCTCGTTGGCCTCTTGTAAGCAAGAAATGCGTAAGTCCCTTTTGCAGAGAAATCGCAAATTAAAATGAACAGAGATGGAATTGAATGAATTTGAGTTTAAATCCGCCAAAACTCGGTTTAAATTTAGCGCCGGCTTAAATCTTGAAACATTTGATACAATTTTAAGTGGAACCAACCATATTTAAACCGCGGCTTGAATTTATACCGCCGCTCAAATTCTTTAAATTCGGCCACAGTTGATTTTTAATTCATTCTTAAACAGACAGCTTATGAAGGTACCGTTCTAAATCGGGGCATTCCCATCATTGTATGGAGGATTCAATTAAAATTACGCGTCCCTATAATCGATTAGGGTGTTATATTTACTTCAAAATTTTGAACAATGAATTTAGAAAATTTTAGAAATTTAGAATTTGAATATTATATAAAAAAGCTGAATCACCGGGCATTGTCCGTAAAAAAAAATATGAAAAAAAATTTTAAAAATGAAAAAAAGATAAAAAATTTCAATTTTTTTTTAGCCCATGTCGCCCCCGGGCTACCCATGAGTGTCCACAAAATTTTTTATGATTTTATGGGGAGTTATTTTAAAAGACACGTTATTTGATTTTTAAGAATATTTTAGACTTAACTTTTAGAAAACAAGGAATTTACAAAATAAAAAGTTAAAATCGAAATGTTATGTAAAAGGAACTGAACAATCCGGCGTTGCCCGTAAAAAAAAAATTTTTTTTTTAAATGTTGAATAAAAAATGTCGAGTTTTTTGGCTCATGTCAACCCCCTGGGCTACCCATAAGTGTCCACAAAAATTTCAGCTTATTCAGTCCAGCTGTTTGGCCGGCCAGAGGGAACATAAAACTACACGCATATCTTGTTTTATTTATATAGATATATCCATTAAGATAGAGAAATTGAGGTTTCAAGTTTAGATTGAATAAAGAATAGGAAAAGGAATTGAGTTTTTGCAACAAACTCGAATTTTCAAATCCCTATATCTTTGCAACCAGATGGTTTGAACCGATGATATTTCTAACTTAGACTATTTGATCTAACAGAATTCATAGTTTAAAATATCTAGGGTCTACGACATCGGGCTGCTAAGATATAAGGGGGAAACTGTTAGAGTTTGTGGCAAAAACTAATTTCCTTTGTTTTTAAAGTCTGAAAACGTTTAATTTATAGCCTTTATAATGTAAACATTAACATTGCCAGTGAAAGGAATTCCCACAAATTATGATAGATATTTTATCTAAAGAAAGCTCAAAACAATTCTTGGCTCTCAGGCCGAATTTAAAGAACTTGAGCCGCGGCAGATCTATGCTTGGTTCCACTTAAAATCGTTTTCAACTTTGCAAGATTTAAGCCGGCGCTCAATTGAAACCGGTTTGGGGGATTTGAGACGCGGCTCAAATTCACTAAATTCGGGCTCTAGTCTCCTTTTTTTTGCATATAACCCACCCCAATGTAGACATGATGAAAAAGGTCAAACTTATGGAAATGACTGGTATGACTTTATGAACTCCTCTACTTTTCATTTAGTTTCATATTAGAAAAAAATAGATAGTTTTTCTTCAAAGGTCTTTAATAGGGATTGAGTCATTTGCCACACACTCTTTGTACTTTCTAAACCCTTATATCTTTGCAATCTACAATGGTGCAAACCTTTGATATTTCAAGCTTAGATTATTTGATCTAAACGAATTTATAGTTTTAAATATTTACGACATTTGGTTGCAAAGATCTAGCTTGACTTAAACCCTGATTTATTCTTTCTAGGATTCAATGTATGACAGTGTGTTGACATCAACTCCTACCCAGAGAAAACTAGTCCTAGGAGATCCGTCCACCAAGATGTCTGAATCTCCGGTTGCAAACACATCCATCCCAGCTCTTCCCCTCACTCCAATCTCTAGGTGAGAACAGGAAAAATACTAATCCAGGAATTCATTTGAAGTTTTTTATTTTTAATAATGATCATTATAATGGGGGTGGATTATTTCTTGAATTGAAGGGGAAATTGTCAAAATTTATTTGAACTTTGACCAAAAACTTGTTACCTTTCATTTTGAAACATCTTTACCAAAATTTGATTATTTCCCCAAATTTTATATATTTACATGATTCTAATAAAATCTACATGGACAAGTTCTTGTGATCGGGTTTTACATTTTTGACATGTAAAAGTACATATCACCCTTAACTGAGCTTTCGATTCGTACCACAGTTATTTGCAGTTCACTGACCGAAGATATGATAAGGTTTAGTGGAGAGTGATCTTTATTCGTTTTTTACCTGCTTTCTTATATATTCAGTAATTTTGTGTTCTACTATTGTAAAATTTCTCTGTGTTATAAATATCTAAATGTTAAAATATCTAGGTTTGGATTAGCTCAGGTTGGTTTAAAACCAAAAAAGTGCCATGATCAGGAGGTACCTGGAGATGAGGATATTCAAGGTTATGGAGACCTAGATCTGGATTTGGATTCGGTAACTATTAACAATGCATAGAGAGGGATTAAATAAAAGGAACTGTTTGCGTAAGTTCAAGTGACCCTCCATGCAAAGATGACATTGCTGGACTTACAACTGTACCCTTAAACCCTTTATCTGATCAATAATTCGAAAGATTATGTCTTCTTTCTATGTTTAGAAGTGATTAAATCTGATAATTACTATTTGTTTTCCTGCAGTAGAAATGCGCAAGTAACTTCAAACTACGCTTACAGATCCTTAACGATTTATTTCCGTAGCAAACCTTCGATCATTCAGATAAATTGCTAAAATTAAGATATATAGGGTTACCCACAAAGGTTGAGACTTAAAGAAACGACTTTACCGAATTCATTAAGCCTTCTTCCTTCCTTGCAGTCAATAAGCTTTTTCCTTTTTGCCATATAAAATAATTATCATTGAAATGGTAAACTTAATTTAATTTTGAAGAGTTTTGAAAGAAAAAATGCCAAAAGCAATTTTTTTTCAGGTTCAAAAACATTTTAAACTGAAATATTTTCTTTAACTGTTATCTTAAGGTTTGTCACCTGTTTTATATTATTTTTATTTTTATTCTATTGAAACCTTTATGTTTTATACATAAATGATATGAATATTTTCTATAAAACTAATTATTACTTGATTACATTCTACTTAATATTTCAGGACATAAAGTTGAAGCTGGGTGCTGATGAGAGCAAGGATTTCAGTGCTGACGAGAGTTTAGATTTTGAAGTATAAAATATCCTTTCATCTTTAAAATTAAATTTAAAGTATGATGTGGAGTGTTTATTGTAAACACTATAATATATGTAAATTGTAAATTCAAATGTGATTTAAGAGATAACTAGTTGAAAATTTCAAATTGTTAGAAGAACTTTAGACAATTCTAAATTGAAAACTTAGGAAAATTATATTTTGTATTTTTTGCTTTTAGTTATTATTCATTATTTGTAAGCTAAATTTTAAATGATCTAGTAAAATGTATGTAATGTATTTAAAATTAAATATGGTTCGAATCATATATTTATTATATCAAAAGATAAATAGTTGATAAATGAAATTGTATTTCCAGATATTTTTGTTCAACTCTCCGAGAAAGAGGACAGACTAGGAAAGAAAGTTATGTACTAAGATGGATGAAAAATGACATTCTAGCTCTTCTGTAAGCTGACACAAAAAGAAGAAAGATTCTACTCTCTTTAGAAAGAAAAAACACAAGAATTATGAAAAGCCCAATTGAGGTCAAAAAAATTTGTGAAATTATAAATGAATGTGATATTTTCTATGACACTGCATCCTTCAATATGTAGCTTATAAACCATGTCATTTTATTAAAAAAAATCCGCAATTGTATTAATGGAAAGCATTCTGCTGAAGAATTTAAGACATGAAACACTGTTCAGCAATTGTTCTAAATAAACAATGTTCGTAGCTTATTTAAGAAGCAATACATATATATTATGAAACTGAAGCTTGGAAAGAATAATATATCACTGATGAGGAGGAGATTGAATCTATCTCTGTCTTGAGGAAGAGGACGAGTAGTAGAAAGAGGTCGAGGTCGAGAAGACCCTTAGGACGAAGGGATGAAGGACCAAGGACAGAAAGGAGAGTGAAAACTCAAAGAGTAAGTAAAAAAATCATATTCTTTTTTATAAACAGCCATTTTTCAGCCATTCAACTTTTAATTGTGGTTATATCTGCATGTATGAGCGCTGGCAATAATATACTCATAGATGTTTTCATTAAAGTATTGTTTTTGTTTTGTTTAGAACCGGTTCCAAGTAAGATATCTAGACGCCAGAGAACTGAGATTAACTATTCACAGAAGAAAAATCTCCCTGATGGTCAAAATCCAGAGTCTGGTACAAGTTGGAGATCTGGACGTAAGAGGTTTGAAAATACAGTTAAATGATCTTCCTGGTGATCAAAGTAAAGCAACTGGCCAAGTAGGAGATCTAAACGTCAGAGAACTGAGATTAAATATTCACAAGAGAAAAATCTCCCTGATGATTAAAATCCAGAGCCTGGTACGAGTAGGAGATCTGGACGTCATAGATTTGAAAATACAGTTAAATGATCTACCTGATGATCAAAGTAAAGCACCTGGCCAAGTAGGAGATCTAAACGCCAGAGAACTGAGATTAAATATTCAAAAAAATGATCTCCCTCATGATCATATTCCAGAGCCTGGTACACGTATGAGATCTGGACGTCAGAGATTTGAAAATGAGGATCCAGAGGAATGATCTCTCTGATGACCAAAGTCCAGAATCTGGTCCAAGTAGGAGATCTAGACATCAGAGAACGATCAACTACAATGATCATAATGATGAAGATATGAGTTCAGAAGATACTGTAAATATGCTGCGTTTCTTACTTTCCTTTTAATAAAGAATCATGGACATTTTACAGTCCGGTCCTTATCCCAGAAAATTGTTACTTTTGATCAAAGTTTGATCCATTAAACATAATTTTTTCGCCTTTTCTAATACTTTTTTGTCGGGCGTTGGCGTATGCTTTTCAAGCAAAGAAAAAAGTTTGTTGTTAATTTATAGACAAACACGGGAATGAATTCGAATAGAAGAAACCAAAAGCATCTCGCCCTGGTTAGTCCGGGGTGGAATATTTATTAAGGTCTTTATTTTATGTTACATGATACTAATTAATATGGTGTTAAAACAAATGTCTAATTTTATGTTGTCAAGTACATTGTTCTAACTAATATGGCGTTAAAACAAATGTTTAATTTTATGTCGTCTAGTACATGGTACTAAGTAATATGATGTTGAAACAAATGTTTAATTTTATGTTGTCTGGTACATGGTACTAATTAATATGATGTTAATACAAATGTTTAATTTTATGTCGTCTAGTACATGGTACTAATTAATATGATGTTGAAACAAATGTTTAATTTTATGTTGTCTGGTACATGGTATTACTAATTAATATGATGTTGAAACAAATGTTTAATTTTATGTTGTCTGGTACATGGTACTAATTAATATGATGTTAAAACAAATGTTTAATTTTATGTTGTCTAGTACATGGTACTAATTAATATGATGTTAAAACAAATGTTTAATTTTATGTTGTCTAGTACA